TTTTTTTTTTTTAAAGGGGGAGGATCTCGCCACCCTGAGTCTGTAGTCCTACATGGGAACATTGTCTGGAGCTGAGAAACAGCTGTCCCTTTTGGATGGAACACTTACTGTCCTGTTTGTCATAGTACCGACCCAGCCTGTGTCACCGGTTTACGTGTAACTTTTTGTGCCTTTGTCTAACTGCTGCAGGAGGGTGAAGGAAGCAGTGCACATTGGCCAAACCTGCAAGGGTGGAAAGGCATGTGGGGCAGGTGTCCCTGGGGGCAGGGATGTGAGCAGGGATTCAGGGAACAAATAAAGCAGTGGTGCTTTGACTCCCATGGACACCTTGGGAGACACAGTACCCATGGGGCAGCCAGGACCAGGGCCTGGAAGTCAGGGAATAAAGCAAAGATCTCTGAACAAGGTGGCAGAGTGGACACACCCAAAACCCGCCCCCTGTACTCTGAACAGCTAAGAACGTGGGTTAAAATGAAACCGGATAGAAAAACATTGGTGGGGGCGGGGTGGGGGGCGCCTGGGTGGCTCAGTTGGTTAAGTGTCCTACTCTTGGTTTCGGCTCAGATTACAATCTCGTGGTTTGTGGGTTCAAGTCCTGCTTTGGGCTCTGCGCTCAGCATGGAACCTGCCTGGGATTCTCTCTCTCCCTTCCCCTGTTTCTGCCCCTCCCTTGCTCTCTCTCTCTTGCAAAAATAAATAATCTCTCTCTCTCTCTCTCTCTCTCTGTCTCTGTGTATATAAAACATTAGGAAAAGTTCTGTGGGCCAGGAAAGGGAGAGGAAACATAAGTGTGGTAAGTGGGCTTCAGCCAGCAGCCCCTGGGGTGCGGTGAGCAGTGGAATCAGCCCCTTAATGTCTCCGTCGGGTAGGGATTGGGTCTGCCTTGCTCGTGGGGGGAGAAGGAAGCCAGACTCTGTAAGAAGTCAAGAGGCGGGCCTTGCTCCTAGCAGGCGCTGAAATACGTCTTTGGTGGCCTGATCTGTGACTGGAGCCTGCCACTTGGCCGTGGCCCAGGGAAGAGAGGACAGCTCTGGTGGAAATAGAAGTTTGAATTTGCTGTCCTTGGGCCAGCATCAAACGCTGTGCTACTTCTGGCCTCCCGACTAGAGAGCAGCCTGGGCTGGTGTTTCCCTTTGCGACTCCTTTGGAAAGAGCATCCTGAGCAAATGAGTCACAGGGACATGGTCATAGGGTCATACTTAATCATCTCAAGAGGCCAAGTGGCAGCATTTCCTCATCTGAGGCATGTGCTGAGAGTCTCTAACTGGGGACGCTTCGCAGGTGCTCGCGGAACTTGAGGGTAATGAAGCTGCATCTCACGGAGTTAGGGCGCAAGAAAGAGAAGGTTCGTCAGTAATCTTGGCTTCCTCCATCATTTTCTAGATGAGGAAATTGAGGCCCGGAGATTTAAGATCACACAGCTGGTCAACGCAGATGTAGAACCAGGGGCTGAGCACCTGGGCTCCATACTTGCTTTGCTCCAGAAACCTCGTGTTTCTGTTTGTTTGTTTGTTTGTGTGCTTTTACCATTTTATAAGTGGCTTCATGGATTGATCAAGAGGCTACAAAGCACAGTGACACGCTCCCCCTTGTGTTGGGGGAGCTGTACCTCCTGTGGCATTGGTGTGATGTTGTTGTTGACTGTGAATTCCTCATGGAGAGGCAGGTAGTGGTGGTGAAGAGTATGGATTTTGGAGCCAGCCTGTCCAAATTTGCATCCCAGCTTCACCACTTAACTATCTGTGGGACTGACTGTGGGCAAGTTACCTAATCCCTCTGTGCCTCCATTTCCATGGCTATATGACAGGGCTAATAATGGCACCCGTCTATTGGATTGCAGAGAAGATTAAATGAGATAAAGTGTTTTAAAGCCTCTGGAGCAAGGCCTGGCACATACAAAGCCCCCCCCCCCCCCCAGTAAATGTTAACTGTCATTGTTCTTATTGCCCTTATGTGACAGATTGTATTTCCCTTTTTGCTTTGGCAATCAGGGAAGTCACCACTCAATTTGAACCTTATCTTTGGACCTGCATGGGACCCCATGGCATGAATTTCTGTTTTCCTAACATTCTCTGGCATTATTTAATTATTTGAGTCTCATTTCCCCCATCATCCTGATTTCTATATATTATTGCATTGTATGTATCACTATGAGCCTATTTAAAAAAGTTTTTTTAACGTTTATTTATTTTTGAGAGAGAGATAGAGAGAGAGAGAGCATGAGTAGGGGAGAGTCAGAGAGAGAGAGAGACACAGTCTGAAGCAGGCTCCAGTCTCTGAGCTGTCAGCACAGAGCCCAACGTGGGGCTCAAACTCACAGACCGTGAGATCATGACCTGAGCTGAAGTTGGATGCTCAACCAACTAAGCCACTCAGGCGCCCCTACTATAAGCTTTTTTAGAACAAGCTTGGAATTAATAAATTAAGAAAGATACAGCATTTGGTTGATTTGGACTGTCCTGATGTCTTCCAGGATGATCTTGAACTAGGAGGTGAACTGTGTTATTAAAAAAAAAAATTGGGGGCACCTGGGTGGCTCAGTCGGTTAAGTGTCCGACTTCAGCTCAGGTCATGATCTCGCGGTCGTGGGTTTGAGCCCCACGTCGGGCTTTGTGCTGACAGCTCAGAGCCTGGAGCCTGTTTCAGATTCTGTGTCTCCCTCTTTCTCTGATCCTCCCCCATTCACGCTCTGTCTCTGTCTGTCTCAAAAATAAATAAACGTTAAAAACAATTAAAAAAAATTATCACTAACATTTTTGTGGCCATTGTCACACATGCTTTACACACATTACCTTAAACTTTACAACCATCCTGTGAGGTAGGGCATATTAATCCCTTTTGTGGGTGAGGAAACTAAGGCTCAGAGAGGTGAAGGGACTCAGCCAATGTTGCCAGGTGCACAGGGCAGAGCTAGGATTCAGATGTGGTCCCACCTGTCTCCACCACACACACTTTGACTCCCTGTTCTAGATGGTCTCTTGAACTCTTGAGGGCAAAGGAAGGATGATTTCAGCAGCTGACTGATATTTTCTCTCCTGCCCCACTTCTCTTCCCACTTCCTCTACCTTCTCCTCTCTGCTTGCCGGGTTCCCCAGAACCCATGAGGGCCCCCAAAGGCCTGGCTTTCGCTGAGATCCAGGCCCGCCAGCTGATGCTGCAGTGGGAACCTCTGGGCTACAATGTGACACGTTGCCACACGTACACGGTGTCCCTGTGCTATCACTACACGCTGGGCAGCAGCCACAACCAGACCATCCGGGAGTGTGTGAAGATGGAGCGGGGCGTCAGCCGCTACACCATCAAGAACCTGCCCCCCTACCGGAACGTTCACGTGCGGCTCATCCTCACGAACCCCGAGGGACGCAAGGAGGGCAAGGAGGTCACCTTCCAGACAGACGAGGATGGTAAGAGTCCCAGCCCTGGTTCCCAGGATACTCAGTGCCTCCCGCAGGCACCCACTGTGAGACTGAAATTTTCATAGAAAATTTTTTGCTGAAGATTAAAATAACACAACAACAAAGTAATGATGGCTAATATTTATTCTCTGAAAGACTTGGGCTAGATTGGTATAATTTCTTCCTTAAATGTTTGGAAGAATTTAGCAACGAAGCCATCTGGGCCTGGAGTTTTCTTTCTTTTTTTTAATTAAAGAAATTTTTTTTAATGTTTATTTATTTTTGAGAGAGAGAGAGACAGAGCGTGAGCAGGGGAGAGGCAGAGAGAGAGAGGGAGACACAGAATCCGAAACAGGCTTCAGGCTCTGAGCTGTCAGCAGAGAACCCGAAGTGGAGCTCAAACTCCGGAACAGTGAGATTATGACCTAGGCCAGAGTCAGATGCTCAACCAACTGAGCCACCCAGGTGCCCCTGGGCCTGGAATTTTCTTTGTGGCAATGTAATTACTAACAGTTTTACTTTCTTCTTCTTCTTCTTCTTCTTCTTCTTCTTCTTCTTCTTCTTCTTCTTTTTCTTCTTCTTCTTTTTAAAGTTTATGTATTTTGAGAGATAGAGAGTGAGGGAGGGGCAGAGAGAGGGGGAGAGAGAGAGTCCCAAGCAATCTCTACACTGTCAACACAGAGCCCAACTCAGGGCTCAATCCCACAAACCACAAGATCATGACTTGAGCCAAGATCAAGAGTTGGATGCTTAACCCACTGAGTCACCCAGGCACCCCAATAGTTTTACTTTCTAAAATAGGTATTAGAGTGTTAAGATTTTTTAAAAAAAGCTTATTTATTTGGAGAGAAAAAGAATGTGCGCATGGGGAAAGGACAGAGAGAGATGGAGGGACACAGAGAATTCCAAGCAGGCTCTGCACTAGCAGCACAGAGCTGGACTCAGGGCTTGAACTCACACACTGTGAGATCATGACCACTGTCCAACTAAGAGTTGGACACTTAACTGACTGAGCCACCCAGGAGCCTCATGAATATTAAGATTTTCTATAATTGTATCTATTTGGTGTACTGGGCTTTAAGGAATTTATTTCACCTAAATCATCATATTTCTTGACATAAAGTTGGTTATAATCTCTAATTATATTTATTTGATGTCTGAAGGATCAATAGCATATGTCCCTTTTTTTCTTTCCTGAGTTTGGTAATTTGTGTCTTCTCTTTATTTTCTTGTTCACTCTTGCTAGGGGTGTATCCATTTTTTATCTTTCCAAAGAGCCAGCTTTTGGCTTAGTTGATTTGCTTTATTGTATATTTATTTTCTAGTATTTCCTATTTAAAGTTTATTTATTTATTTATTTATTTATTTATTTATTTATTTATTGGGGCGAGGGGGGGGAGAGAGAGAGAGAGAGAGAGAGAGAGAGAGAGAGAGAGAATCCCAACCACAGAGCCCGACTTGGGCTCATGACCCATGAGATAATGACCTGAGCCGAAATCAAGAGTAGGATGCTTAACTGACTGAGCCACCCAGGTGCCCCTGTATTTCCTCCTTTATACTTTCTTTAGATTTGATCAGCTCTTCTTTTAGCTTTTTGAGATGGAAGCTTATTAGGTCATTGATTTTGAGATTTTTTTTCATTTCTAATATATGCATTTAAAGCTATAAATTTCCCTCAAAGCCCTGCTTTAGCTGCATCCCATGAGTTTTGATATGTTCTTTGTTATTATTCAGTTCAAAATATTTTCTAATATCTGTTGTGATTTCCTCTTTGACTCAAGAGTTAGAATTACATTGCTAAATTTTTAAGATTTCCATAATTATCTGTGATTGGTTTCTAGCTTAATTCCTCTGTGGTCAGAGTACATACTCTAATTTTGGTCTTTTGAAATTTGACATTTGCTTTATTGCCCAGCATATTGTTAAATTTTGATAAATATTTCATGTGTACCTGAAAAAAAATTGTGCAGGTAGGTAGCACAAAGATAGGTTTGTGCTGAAGAGGTTTCATTCTTTTTTCTTTTTTCTTTTATTTTTTAGGAAGAGAGAGAGAAAGAGAGAGGAGAGAGAGTAAACATGAGTGGGGAGGGGCAGAAGGAGAGAGAGAATCTCAAGCAGGCTCCATACTCAGCACATAGGCCTATGCAGGGTTTGATCTCACAAACTGTGAGATCATGACCTGAGCTGAAATCAAGAGTCAGAGGCTTAACCGACTGAGCCACCCAGGCACTCCAGAGTTTCATTCTTAACAGCAATGCTGTTATGCTAGCACAGGTCCAAAGCCTTCCCCCAGATATCTGCAAATCTTTAGGTACCCTAAGCTCCTTTGTGGATAATTTTTCTTGACTCCCTACATGTGGAATTTTCTGTTTTGTACCACAAGGGCCCAGACACAAAATTCAGCTCCTTCCTTGATTTCCACAAAGTCCCACTTACCTAAGACAGAGTGTATGCCCTGTGCCCTGTGCTGATGTGCCGAGGATTTTCTGGGGGGTGGGAGTGAGATCTGGGGGCAGGGTTTACCCTAAAGCATTGCAAATGCAGAGAAGGAAAAACTTCACTTCTTCCTTCTAGTTGTCTTTGGTTCATTGGTTGGGGGCACATAAATTACACTGAGAAAAGACATTAACAAGAGAAAACCAAATAGGAGTTTATTACCCTGTGCATTTCGCGTGCGTGCGCGCGCGCACACACACACACACACACACACACACACACACAAATGGGAGTACTCTCTGATGAGTTATGCAAAGGAGTGGTTAGAGCTTGGGTTTACGTAGTGTCTTAACAGAAGAACAATGAATTTGTAGGGAAATGACAAGACAGAGGAAAAGGATTTTTGAGAGTTCAGGCACAGCAGATTATGTGAAGGCAAATATTTGGGGAAGCCAGTGGTAGATAAGGGCTAGTTAGTAAAGTTTAGTAAAGTTCATGTAGATTCTTCTGATCTGATAAAGGTCTGGGGTTGTCTCAGTGATTAACCTCTTTCCTTCCTGGTAGCGAGGGGATGGGAGCACCTTTATATATTTATGTCCTGCTTTTAGGCAAACAGGGAGAGCAGAGAACTTTTCTTGGGTCTGCTTGCTGCTTCTTGATTCAGCTCAAAATAATCTTTATGTGAAGGTGGTATATTTTGCGGTGGCATATTCTACTACCCTTCACAATTAACCTCAAGTTCAACATCTGACTCCTTCGTTGTTAAAGTCTGTTGACCTGTCTCCCCCCTGAGGTATGTTGTTGTGTCTGCTTCACTCCCTTCCAACCAGGCCTCACTTGGACTGCGTGGCTTTATTTCTTCTTTCTCTGTCCCTTTCCTCCTTCCCTCCAATAACTGCCTATTACTTAATATTTTTTTTTCCTTTTCACTTAGGTATTAGTATAATAGTTTTAGGAAATGTACTTACTAAGGTAAAGTCAGTGAGTTCTCACAGACTGGACACATCAGGATAACCCACACACGGATCAAGAAATAGCATTAACAGGGGCACCTGCGTGGCTCAGTCAGTTAAGCATCCGACTCTTGATTTTGGCTCAGGTCAGATCTCACAGTTTGTGAGATCGAGCCCCACGTGGGACTCTGTGCTGACAGTGTGGAGCGTGCTTGGGATTCTGTCTCTCTCTCTGCCCCTCTCCTGCTTGTGCTCTCTCTCTAAAAGAAATAGACTTAAATAGAAATAGCATTAGCAGCTCACCAGAAGCCCTCCCTTTATGTTCCCACTTCCAGCCTCCTGAGGGTAACCATTACCTTGACCTATAATCCAACAGATTAATTTTTGCTTGGTTTGAACTTTCTATCAGTGGAGGTCATTACGGCATGTATTCTTTTTACGACTGGCTTCTCTCTCTAGAATTTATGCTTGAGAGAGCCAGCCATGTTGTGTATAGGGTTCCAGAGAATTCTTTCTTATTACATTATGTGAATGTACCACATTCATTTATCCTACTTAAATTGTGCTGTAAAGAAAAATACTTGCAGATTCTTTTGGGTGTGTGTGTGTGTGGGGGGAGGAGTGGTATAGATACCCACATTTCTGATTGGTTAATGCCTGGGACGGCTAGGTTATAGGATCTGTGCTCATAATACGTAGATCTCTCCAGACAGCTTTCCCAAGGTCTTGTATCAGTTTACATGCAGTGTGTGGAAATTTCAGTTGCCTGCATCCTTACCAACACTTGGGATTGTCTTTTTCATTTGATCATTTTGGTGGATGGACTGCCTTGTTGACTGTTCGTTTTAACCAGAACATTTTAGCTTCGGTGATTGTTCATTGAGTTCTGCTTGCCTCAGGATTTCCGCTTCCCCACACTGGTGTATCAGTTTGTCTCCCCAAAGACCATTCTCTTCCTAGAAGAAATTCCCTGTGGCTGCTGTTAAGGTGACATGACCCATTAGAACAAAAACAAGCAAAGCCAGACCTGAAAGGGTTTGTGCTAAAATGTAAATGGTGTCTCCAGGTGACAGAATTGTAGGTGCCACTAAATTTCTTTATACTCATTTTGATTTTATACACTGAGCATAGTTTTTGTGTAATCAGAAATTTTTAGACAAGAAAACATCTCTACCCATAATCCTGCCAGTCTAATGCAATTGTTTCCATTTCTCTGGCGAAGGTCTGTGTTTTCTGAAAACCATTCAACTGGAACAGAATTGGAACATTCAGATGTTCTCTGCTGAATGCCACCTGCACAGTAATGAGAATGCCAGCTACCCTCTTTGAGTCCTTGGGACTGGGTTGAACCATATGAAATTCCTGATATTTACCTTGGGGCTTTCTGTACATCACATCACTTAATCCTGGTGAGGGAGGGGTTATTTTCATCTCCATTTCGCAGATGAGGAAACTGAGGTTCAGAGTTGAGATGCCTGAGCATACCAGCCAAGAAATAGCAAGGCTGGAATTTGAATTCAGGTATCTGCTCCAAAGCCGGCTTTCCCCTGCTCTGTGCCACTTTCCCTCGCAGTGCCTGGTGGGATTGCAGCCGAGTCCCTGACCTTCACTCCACTGGAGGACATGATCTTCCTCAAGTGGGAGGAGCCCCAGGAACCCAATGGCCTCATCACTCAGTATGAGGTGAGTTTGGACCTCATTATAGTGGGGGTCGCTGGTGGAAGGTGGGCACACAGCTTGGAGAGGGAGGTGCAGGGTAGGGGACAGAGATGATCACTGAGGTTCCTCCCACTGGTCAAAGTCTGTGCCCTGTGGGTTATGGGGACAGGGACCCTGAAAGAATAGAGGTGAAGGTGTCCAGGGCCTGGGCTAATGGGCATCCACAGTCCCCCTTTGCCCAGCCTTCTCCTTAGCTCACCTGAACTATGATGGGCGGGAGGCTATGGGGCCAGTGATGACCTTCCCCATCCCTGTGCCCACTTACCTGCCCGTCCTGACTCTAGATCAGCTATCAGAGCATTGAGTCATCAGACCCGGTGGTGAATGTGCCGGGCCCACGACGTACTATCTCCAAGCTCCGCAACGAGACTTACCACGTCTTCTCCAACCTGCACCCGGGCACCACCTACCTGTTCTCTGTGCGGGCCCGCACGGGCAAAGGCTTTGGCCAGGCGGCACTCACCGAGATCACCACCAACATCTCAGGTGAGCCCGCCCGACCCCAGCCTGGCCCCTTTAGAGGACACCCAGAATCCCAGGATTCCGTGGGCAGAGGGAGGAGGGGCGGTGTCTTGGGAGTGTTTATGGAGGGCCCCCACTGAGATGAATGTACCATTTAGGAATTAAGTTCAGGGGCAGGGAGGATTAAGTCAGAGGGGTGAGGAGACTGGAATCTGAGGGCTGAGTTCAGGGGTCAGAAGTCAGGGAATCTCAGGCCAGAGGGAACAAGGCTGAAGGGGAAGAGATCTGAGGACGGGAGTCCAGGAGGCTAGAGACTCAGCCTTCCCGGTCTAGCAGCCGGTCTCCGTGCTTACGTCTGTGTCTCCTTCCCCAGCTCCCAGCTTTGATTATGCCGACATGCCATCACCCCTGGGCGAGTCTGAGAATACCATCACCGTTCTGCTGAGGCCGGCACAGGGCCGCGGTGCGCCCATCAGGTGGGAGAGCCTAGACGGAGGGGTGGGAGGTCAGGGCCATAGGGAAGAAGCTCATCCTCTGACCCAGAGCCCCCCCCATATAGGCCAGCTCAGCTGTCCTCCCTCAGTTTCCCACTTAGGACCCAATGTGTCCAGAGGAGGACATTCTGTGATCCTGGGCAGGTGGAAAGCCCACAGCCACTCCCATGGGTATCTGATGGAGATTGTCATGAGATCTTCGGATAGCGTCCAGCCTGGAGAGGTGACTGTCCGGGCCTCTCCTGGAGGCCTTCCTTCAGACATCTTGGAGAAGTGAAACTCTTGGGGCCTTCTTTCTTCCCAGCTTTTCCCAGGAGACACAGGGATGGGCATTCTAGAAGGCTAGCGCAGCCAGCAAGATAGGGCCTTTGCTCTGGAGTGGCTAAGAGCTTGTCTTTAGTTTCTTCTCCACTGAGAAAGCTGAGGCTGCCTCTGCTGGAGAGAAGGTGCTGGAGACAAGATGGCGCGTGTATGTGATAAAGACACGCAGTGTGTATGTGTGATGTGTGGTGTGGAGGTGTGAGTGTGTGTATGTGAGAGAGCGTGAGGGTGTTTGTGGGATGTGCACACGTGCTTCCTGTCAGCTGGACGCTGTGTTTGCCACTTTACCCGCACCCGCCATTTTGTCCTCATGGCGGCCTGTGGAGTCGGTATTGTTACCCTTCAGTAGACAGGCTCAGTGACCTTAAGTAGCTTGCCCCCCCGGGTCACACAGCTGGTATGTGATAGCGCTGGGGTTTGGAACCCAGGTCTGTCTGCACAGCCTATGCCTTTTCTTGAAGTCACAGAGCCTCCCTGCCCCTGCGGTCCTCCCCCTTCTTCCACAAAGAAGTGTGCACTGAGAGAGGCCTGCTGAGCCTCTGAGGAGGTAGTGGGTTGCCCAGGTGCCCTTAATCCCCCCTCACCTCCTCTCCCCCCTTTCTCCTGCTCTGCCTCCCCTGCATTTGCTCCTGCAGAGTCTGTCCTGGGCTGATTCCCAGACTCAGGAAAAAGTCAGGGTGTTTGAGGGGCATGTTGCATTTGCAGGAGTCTCGGGGCCCTTGTGTGGCTGAGTCTGGGAGCTGGGAAACCCAGCAGCGCCTTCTCTTTTCCTGGTCTTTTTTTTT